AAGTTCTTTGGATAAATACCCAACAGTGGAATAGCTGGATCATATGGTAGTTCTATCGTTGATTTTTTGAGGAATCTCCATACTGTTTTCCATAGGGGCTGCACCAGTTTGCACTCCCACCAGCAGTGTATGAGAGTTCCCTTCTCTCCACATCCAAGAGAGTAGATCTTAAGTGTTCTCACTCACACAGTGGTAACTGTGTGAGGTGGTGGATATCTTAATTAGCTCAATTGTAATTATTTCACAGTGTATACATATATAAAAGCATCATGTTGTACACCTTAAATATATACAATTTTTATTTGTTAATTATATCTCAATAATGCTGGAAAAACCAACACAGAGAAAATGAACTCATAGAAACAGAAAGCAGATTGGTAGTTGCTAGGGGCAACTGGTGCTCAAAAATACAAAGAAAATTTTTAAAACTTTGAGTTAAATTTATGTGAGTTATATCTAATATGGTATATCAATTTTCCTTATTAGAAAATAAAACAAATTTTAAAAGTATTTATTAATTTTAAAAATTTAAATTATTTTTTCATTTAAAATAATAATAGTAAATTCCATTACATGTTAACATAAACAAAAATTTTTTATGAATAATAATTATTTTCCAAAACAAAATTAAGAAGTGTAGCACTGTTTTACTTTTTTTGGGGTAGGAAGATTAGCCCTGAGCTAACATCTGTTGCCAATCCTCCTCTTTTTGCTGAGGAAGATTGGCCCTGAGCTGACATCTGTGCCAATCTTCCTCTTTTATGTGTGGGACGCCTGCCACCACATGGCTTGATGAGCAGTGCGCAGGTCTGTGCCCAGGATCCGAACCTGTGAACCCCAGGCCGCTGGAACAGACTGGACGAACTCAACCACTATGCCACCGGGCTGGCCCTTGTTTTACATTTTTGCTGTTCTCTAATGCCTGGTGTACTAGAAGGCTGCTAGATTCCATATCTGCTTCTATATTCAAACTATTGTATTATTTTGCTTGATTGAAGTACGTGAAGAAAGTCCAGCCTCATAACAGCTATGAAGTCTTGTAGCTTTTTAAGAATGTCATAGTACACTTGTGAGACACTGAAATTGCTAAAGGCAAATAATATCTTAGATATCTTAGTGCTCTTCTGAAAATATTTTCAACCTTGCAGATAACCTGAACGAGTCTCAGAGATGCTGGGTGGGCTTCTGCTCCTTACACTGGGCCACTATGGCTACCCCATCACATACGGATGCCTGCCTTGCTCTGCCCTATTTAATGGCTTTAGGACTGAATTGTTTGGGAAGGAGCAGGGCAGTACAGAAATCTTGAACTTTGTGCAGTACAGAAATCTTGAACAACAGTACAGGCTGGTGGTGGTATTGATGACTTAATTCTGAAACGGTTTTTTGTGTATTGTGTGAGGACATATGAGTAAAAATATTGATGTTGGAAATGAGGGTTCTCACTATAGGAAAAAAGAAAAACAATTGGGGAAAGGGTAAGGTGAGGAAGAATCTTGTGTTAATGGATTTGAATTAGCAATATCAGTATGAACTAATCAATATGAATTTATGATGTTTAAAAAATATATTTCTTACTTCTGTCCAATAGAAGGGCATAGAAGCAATGGCACCACAGTAGCAATGAGCTTAATGGTTGCCCAGATCTTGCCTTCTGAATTCCTTCTTTGAGAAAACGCCTGATTACAGTCCTGGGAAAGGAGGGCACAGGTGAGCCTTGAATACGTCATGGTGCCAGCAGGCAAAGGTGTGCTCAATGACCGGTGGGACCACCAAAGGATGTGGGAGCTGCCTGGAGATGCTCTCACTGGAATTAAACTATTTTTATTTTACTATTACTTAGATATTTTATATTTGTACATGTTTATCAACTCAACTCCTTGTACTTGTCTTTCTTATACAACTACAAAAGTAAAACAAATTTATAAATAAACAAATAATCCTGTAAAAGAAAAAAAGTCAGTGATGGAGAAGTCACTGTGACTGATGGGATGTCACCATATGACTCAGCTGAGCGAGGCTGGAAACAAAGGTTGAAAACTACCTTGCCCAACTGGATCTCTGCTCTTATGCAAGTCCCATGTGGTCACTGGTCACAAATGTCCTTAGAACTGTTGGTGCCCACTCAGATCCTCTCATCTCCCCTTTCCTGCAACATGCCCATCCTCCAGATTCTATGTGCTTTGATGCAAATGACTCTCAGCTGTGACCTTCTTCAAAGGGTTGCCACTAGGCTAGCAGAGCCACCTTGTTTGTCCCACACACAGAATTGGGAGTGCCTGGGAGTTTAGATCTCTACTGTAGAGTCCATAACCAATAACTGATTGGTATTGGAGGCCCAAAAGCCCTTGGCTTGAGATGAGACAAACTCTAGGGCACAATTTATGCTCCAGAACTCCCTATGGGATCAGGCTGAGACTGGGACTTTGCCTGAAATCACATTCTTGCTTGGCTTCCTCTCCTCTTCTCTCCTCTTCCCTCACTCCCTTACTGGTTTCTCCTGGGTCTACTTCCTTAACACATCATTTGCATTGAAACCTAGCTCAGGGTCTGTTTCTGGAAGAACTTGGACTAAGACAAGACTATTTCTGGGAGAACATGGGCCCAAATCTGCCCCTTTTTTGAAGTTGGGCAATCTTCACCTGTGAGCTGCAGCATACTGTCCATCTGTCATCTGACTTCAACATTCTGAATGGATACAGCCCCTGACTAGAGACATCTTCCCTAGATACAGAAAGGGGGCCACAAGATGTGTTAATGATGAATGGATGGCTCTTTTAGGTGCCTGGTCCCTCTCAGAGAAGCATGAGTCATCATTACCATTAGCTCTGGAATCAGAGAGAGCATGAGGGTCCAGTGGCAGGGTTCTCTAAAGCCTGCAGAGTAATTCCTGCAAGTTTTGCTCTTAAAGGAGTCTGAGGCAAATGTCCTCTATAGGCTGGGGATCTTGGTACCTGGGACTAGAGTAGAATGTTTTAGTCTAACGAGACATGGAAACTAAAGGATGGAAGTTGCCGCAAGCCTGGGTCTGAAAAGTTGGGGGGAAGAAGGGTGGGAATCAGTCACTGTAGCAAAGAGGATGATCAATAGATATTGGAGTATTGAAGGTGAGCTGCAGTGAGGAAACCAAAGCAAGGGAGGTGAAAAAAGGTAAGGAAAGAAGATGAAAGTCTCCTTGACCTGACGTGTTGAGGTGGGGCTGCAACATATCTTGCAGGGCCCTGCAAGAAGAGACCCTCAGGATAAGTTGCACAGAAAATATGGTCATAAATGTCCATCTTTTCATTGGGAGAAATAAAGTGGGTGTCACAGGAGGGAAAAATGGGTAACTAAATGCTATATGTTGTGAGGTGAGCATTTTAAGTTATTCTTCTCTCATACTATCAGGATTTTTCTACTTAAAAAAAATCCGTTCTCCTTACAAATTATCCTAAATAGTTTATTGCAACCACTTCTTTTGCACAAGAGATGTGACTTTGGGGGTTATTCTCATTTAGGTATGATTTTATCCTTACCAGCAAACTGAAAAGAGCTTAGATAAATATGTTTTCAAGAGACTGATGATACTAATGAAGTTACCATGAGAAACAAAAATAATACCCACTTTTTTGTTTCTTGCCCCCAACCCTTCCTAAAGTGTATGTGTCAGGGAAAGGAAAGTTGTGTGGCTTGCACATGGCATTTCTTCTCTCATCCTCCTTATTAATCAGAGTTCCCCGATCTTTGAGAGAGGCTGGATCCACTGGCAAAAAGATTTATATGACAAAGTGGTTTACAGCTTTCTGGCTGCAATTGCTGATGTGCCTCTGAATGGACAAGCTGCAGATGCAGTGGGCCTGAGGGAGTCGCTGGGTATACTTTGGCACATTAATCCCAATTGTATGTGAACCATATGTTGACAACACAGTTTAACCCAAAATATATCCTTTGCTAGTCTTTGTGATTTCAGATGAGGCTGGGTGAGATAGAGCTAAGCAGTTTAGGCCACCAAGTAAAAAATGTTCGGAAGGCCCTTTGTACATTTTGTTGGTTTATGGAAAAAGAAGGAAGGTAGAGAAAAATAATACTGAACTATGAGTGAAAAGTCTGAGTTTCTACTTTGGCTGCCGTTTAACACTTATGGGGCCCTCAACCTCTCAGCCTCAGCATCCTCATCTGTAATCTGGCTGAGTGCGGTTGAACTGATGAATGAGTTCTCAGTAACCAGATTGGTGGGGAGGAGGAGGAGGAGTGGTACGGGCTGACCCCTGGAGAGATGTTGTGCCTCCCTCTGTAGCCCTTGGCAGCATTCACCTGTCAGAACCCAACGAAGACCCACTGCTTGGCTGTCCATGACTACAGAATTTCATGCCAGTCATGGGCGGTACTCAGGCCAGCCTTGTGACTCTTCTCGATCCATCCCATTATAGGGGGAGAAGAGACGACAGAAAGTGATTCTAGGAGTGGGATCCAGCCCCAGGGAAGCTTCTAAGGCTTTGGGTTCTCCATTTAGAAGGTAAGGGTGACAGAAGGATTCAAGGGTAGCATGAGAATTCTCGACTGAGAAATGACGACAGAGGTCTTCTGATGTGGGCAGGATTGACCCAAGTGGTAGTTAGGGATAGACTGGGCCTCAGGGGAAAGTAGGGACGCACAGCTTTTTGCAGTCCCTGCTCCTAACGATGAGACTGTTGGTCCCTTCCAACCAGGTCAGGAAGGCATGAGGGCGGGATAGGTTGAGTGCCCCCAAACTCAATGCAGAGTACTTTAGGTGCTATTGCTAGCCGCAACAGGTGAACTCAAGAGTTGTTGCTTCTTCCCTCTTTATTGCCTTTTGGTGCACATTGGACAGCAGGCAGGCTCATTGAGCTGTTTGCTCACCTCCACTCAGATATCACAGTCATCTAAGTGTGGCATAAATTCACATACCCATCTGTCTTCCATCTGCATTGCTGACCATCCCCATGCTCAAGGGGATTCAGAAGAAGACTTTCCATATTGAGTGTGTCATGTTTCCTTGGGGCAGTCCCTCTGTAGCCTTTTTTCCCTAATGAAATAATTCTATGCCTCTGTCTTCACCCAAGTTGTGCTTCTTAACCAAGTGTCTTTAGATAGACAGTCTGATTGAAGAATGGTAGCCCACACCATGTTCCATTTTCATAAATCACATGCCAGTTCATTATGCCATCTTTAAATGATTGGTTTAGGTACACCTCATTAATTCACAGAGGTCTTCTGTAGGCAGTTTTTGAGCAATTGATCTTTTGTCTTAGATCATGAGTCCCAGAGATCTGTGCAATAAAGTTCTGCTAAAAGAGGAGCATTTATTCAAGAGAAATACAATCTGTGGGCATTCAAGGAGATGGTAAAATGTTACCCAAATTTACAAACTTTAGGATAAATTTTATAAAATGAGCCTACACATTTGGTATACAGTTGATGTTCAATAAAGGCTTGGTCTTCTCTATTCACACACTAGCACACATCTTCTTACATCCTTCTAAATTGAAGGGAATGGTATGAGATCACTAGACAGGAGCTCAGGGGAATCACTATTTATATTGACTAGGGTTTCTGTATCCAGTTAGATTTGGTTTCATGTTTACTTTCAATTTTAATTCAATTCAATTCAATTTGATGCATTTGAAAAAGAATTCATTGATCACGTGCTGGGTATCAGGCAACCTGCTGGGCAGTGTGTGTGGGGAGAGTGATGCAGAGATAACTAAGCCACAACTCACACTGTCTAAATGTCACAGTCTAGCTGGAGAAACAGTAGTCCCATGCTCATATTATTGCATTCCCAGGCAGATAGCCATTAGTGAGCTGTAGGAAAATTAAGGAGGGAGAAAACTCATCCAGATGGGTGAGTCCAAACAGGCTTCACAGAAGAGATGAAAGATAGGCTCAGCATTTAAGGAAAAGCTTCCACAGGCAGCGATGGGAAGGATGAGAGGAACACTGCATGTGGAGGAAGCATGAACTGGTGATGGCATGGGTGGGAGGCAAAGAATGTTGGTACAATAGCATGGAGTCTGGAGCAGCTAGAATGAGGGGTGCATTATAAGACTTTCTGAAAGGTAGACTAGAAGTCAGGCACAAAGGGTCCCAAATGCCAGGATGAGGAGTTTAGATTGCATCATCAGATAATGGAGAGCGTATGACAGTGTTTGAACAGGGACAGTGTTATATGATTAGGAAGATCGATGGATTGACTGGCTAATTGATCAAAAAAATTAGAGGCAAAAGGGTAAGTTGAGTCCAGGTAAGAGGTGGGGAAGTGCCCAACCTCAACATTATTATTGGGGGAGAAAAAGGTCAAGTCAGCTGGGCTTGTTGATTCAAGGTGCAGAGTGAGAACTAAGGAGGTGGCAATTGAGAATGAGCCTCAGATTCAAGGTCTGACCACTTGACAGGCAATGCTACCCTTCACTAAGGAAAGAAACATAGAAGGAGGAGCAGGCAGGTTTGTAGGGGTTGGGACTGAGTTTCGTTTTGGACATATCTAGAGTGTGCTGGCTTTGGACATCTAAATGGAGATAGATTTCTGCATAACAGTAGGTTTACAAGTCTGAAGATCAGGAAGGAGGTTTAGTTGTAGATAGAAGTCATGAAGATAATTAACAAGTTCATCAATCCAGACAGTTGCTCATCTACCTCTCTTCTCTCCTGTCCAGTGTTTATCAGCTGGTTGTCAAGGAGGAGAGACTTCAGAAGTCACGGAGGGCAGCTGACATCATTGAATGCTTTTCGGTGCCTGTGAGCTATAGGAACGCCTCCAGCCTTGATTCTCTACACTACTTTGCTGCTGAACTTAAGCCCGCCAACCTGCCTGTCACCCAGCCATTTACAGTGGGTGACAACAAGACATATAATGGCTACTGGAACCCTCCTCTTTCCCCTCTGAAAAGCTACAGCATCTACTTCCAGGCCCTCAGCAAAGCAAATGGAGTAAGTATGGCCACATAGAGGCCATTTCTTGCCTTGTTTTTATTTTTTCCTTTCTCAAATGAGAAGGCAGCATGGCTTTAGAGCAGAGTTTGACAGACTAAGGCCCGTTGACCAAATCCAGCCCCATGCCTTTTTATTTTCTTTTGGAAATAAAGGTATTTTGTTTTTTAGAATATAGCAATGCCTATTCATGTACATAGTCTATGGTTGCTTTGATGCTACAATAGTACAGTTGAGTAGATGAGACAGAGACTCTATGCCTCATAAAGCCTAAAATATTTGCTCTATGGTCCTTTACAGAAAAAGTTTGCAGACCCCTGTATTAGAGGATAGAAAGGTGTTTCACTTGGGCAAATCACATGGCCTGTCTAAGTCTTAATTTCCTCATCTATAAAATAATACCTATCAGTTGGATATCTATGAATACACTAAGCAGGTTGTAGTTAATCAGTGAATACTAGCTCCCCTATCATTATCATTAATCACACTAGAAAATATTTTTTTCTCCCAAAGACAAGGTAAACGTTTTTTGCATCAAATATTTCCTTAGTCAAGGAGGAGTGCCAGTCATAACATCACAAAATCACAGGGCTGGAAAGGACCTGAAAGGTCATCCTATACCTTCCTCCCTCCCCCTACATACAAAACAGTGCTTCAATCAACATTACAATATCACAGTTAACTGGTGTTAGTGCATATTGTTGAATACCTCCAATGACAGAGAACTCACTTCATGTGGTATCTTTGTTGATCTTTGAGGGGGGTGGGGCTGTGCTCTAAGAAAGCTTTTTATTACACTGACTTAAATAAATCTTTTATTGTAGCTTCTACCCCTGGCTTTTGGTCCTTTCTCTTAGGGCCCAATGGAACCAAGGCAATCACCTTCTCAGGTGGTATTCTTTCAGTTACATAAGATCTTTTCTATCATCCACTTCCCTTCTAGACAAACACACTCATCTGGTCTTATTTTTTACAAACTAAATATCTTTACTTTCTCTTATGACACATGTTTGTATTTTCCATCAAGGATGCTTCTGTGGACATACTCCAGGTTGCTCTGTTTCATTCAACAAATATATAATGAGCACTGACATATGCTAGGCCCTATGGTTCATGTTAAGGTTATGTAGTATGTGCCCTCCAAGAGCTTATACATTTTCAAGGGAGTCTGGTATGTGCCATGTTCCACAGTGTATCCAGGGAAGTGAGAAGCTCACTGGAGAAGGGAAAGCTGAGACAAAAGCAAGATTTGGTGAAGTGTGTGGAGATCAGCCTGTACAGGCTCTGGGTGGCCAAGATAGGGAGTTTAGCTTAGTCTGTCAGTGGCAGTCATTACCTTGTGAGAAACCTGGATTGAGGAACTAATTAACATTTAAAATATCCACAGAGCCATTTAAATTCCACATTGGTATTTCAGTTCTGCATTTATTACTGGTTCAGGCAACACTCCTCACAGAGAGTATAAAACTATAAAGAGAAGCTGCCAGCCTGCCTTCCACCTGTCCATCTGGCCTTCCCTCTGCATGAAACACTCTGATGTATTGAGGAGGAAGACATAAAGATGGGCAGAAGCATCAGGCGGCCCATCTTGTTCTTGGTTCGCTGCGTTCCATATTGGCCAGTTTACTGGTTCAGCACAGCTCTGAGAAGGTGTGGCTTTCCCTGCTCCTGGCAACATATCAAGAGGTGCCTTTGCATTTCCATTCTGTGAAGAGGGGTGGTAGCTGCACTCAGTTCACCCTCTGTCACATTCCTACCAAGATGCTCATAAAAACCCAGCAAGAGACCAAATCTATAGAAGCCAAGAAACTGGCAAATGGGCCCCAGGAAGAATTTCCCCAAACTAAGCTGACTGGCCCCGAGCAGAACAGCCTGTGAAGCAGAAGGGCTGTTGGAGGTTTTGCTCCCCAAACATCACACAATTGACCCCCTCCTCAAGACAAGAGGTTTTGCCATTGAAAAAAAACTCACCCTACCCTGAAGGTGCCTCATCTAGGAAGCAGTTTCTACCACGGCTTCCAAGATGAACAAGGCCATTTAATTACTTATGCCTTCAATCCCATGCCATGTGTACTCCCATTTTGGAACTAAGATTTACAGTAATGAAACCTAAGCAGGAATGGAATTGGATGGGTGTTTATGCCAGGTGTCTTGAGGGTATAGTCAGCCTCACAAGAACAAAGAGGAAAAGCTATGGGAGTTGGACACTCAGAATGGTGTATTTTTCTGGCAAGAGAAAAACTACACACTTTCAAATTGCTGCATTTAGTATTTAGTTTTACTGAAAAGAGTTGGTTGAAAGGGTCATAGGAGCAGAAAAGCCATTCTCAGTCTAACAAATCTCTGCCTGGCCCCTCTCAAATTTCTCCATATCATAAAGGGCAGCAGACAATGCAGTTAAGCCTGGAGGATTTTTGAGGAGAAAATGTTATAACCCACAAATTCCTTATCAGCTGAGTTGTTGTTCTTGTGCAAATACATCAGAAAACGGTTCTCAGTATCCAGGGGCTCCCAGATGCCCTGCTTCTAATAAATCATTCAAAGAGCAATTGACTGAACAATGAATCAAAATAAAGAAATCAAGAAAAGAGAGATATGGAATAAAAAGATCCACAGTGAGCATGGAAACTAATTAAACATAGCATTAATGCTAAATAATTGCTCTAAATATGTTATAAAAGAGAAGTTTAATATAAAAACAATTACTTAAAGAGATGATGTATAATGTAAAAGATTAACAATTGTGATCTGAGTCTATAATTCACTATTTTGTCAACAAAAACTGAAAAAGAGTTGGAAAAATGATGAGTGTAAATAAAAATCTGCTAATTTTCTCACTTTAGACAGGAAGGAGTAAATAACTACTATCTTATTTTTGATACTGAGAATTTTTTTTAAGTATAGTTTTTTAAACATAAAAGCAGCCTTCCAATCTATCATTTAAAAGCCAGAAAACAACAATCTACCAAGAAAAAAGGGAGAAACAAAGGAAACTATAAGGAAACATGAAAATCAGCAACTATAAAGCAATCCAGAGGACAAAAGCGCTAGATTTTATTTTTTTAAAAAAACTAGTGCTGTTCTCCCCTCATAAAAGGGAGGGAAAATATCTTGGGTCAAGTAAAAAACATAATTCAGCAAATCTACATTACTAGAAGATTAAAAACAGAAGATGGGGCAAAGTTATATTAACCTAAAATAAAGGAAAGCAAAAATGTCCATCTGTTGCAGGATGGTTGTGTGCCAGGCTGAATAATTTACTATTAACCAATTTCGTTGCTCCCTACCTGCAAGTTTCAGTCAGAACAGGGTAAGAGATTTTTAGCGCACAGATATTAAGGATGATTTTTCAGCTTAGCAGAGTGACTAAATATTCAGCCTTTACTACATACACACAAACCCCTAGTAACTGCGTGACTTTAAGTAACCTATTAAAAAGTTAGATATGATTGATCGAATAATTAATTAAGTGAACATCTAGGAAGCACACACTATATGTCAAAAAAGGCACTTTTTTTTTAATTTTTTGTTTATTGCAGTAACATTGGTTTATAACATTGTATAAATTTCAGGTGTACATCATTATACTTCTATTTCTTCATAGATTACATGTTCACCACCCAAATACTAATTACAACCCATCACCACACACATGTGCTGAATTATCCCTTTTGCCCTCCTCCCTCCCCCCTTCCCCTCTGGTAACC